ATAAATCCAGTGGGAGGTTCACACGTACCCTCGTAAGCAGCAGCCGACTCCCACTGCAGGTAGCAAGAGTCACCTTTCCGTGTGCTCCCCGGGCACCACCAGCGACAGGTGAAGCTGCTGTGACGGCTGCGTGTCCTGAGGCCGCTTCCCCTTGCTTCCCAGGGCTAATGTGAACATCCATGTTCCTGGCTGTCACCTGCTGCTTTTTCATGCTGGGCTGGAGCGCGGTGGATAAGGAGCAGAACTCATTTGCCCGGATTTACTGGCTACTGACAAAGCCGGCAGGGTGGAGAAGCAACAGGGGAAATAAACAGTGCCCGCTAGACATATGTGGTGGGATAACCCAAGTGATAGATTGGAGGTTGAGGGGCACCAGAAGCAAGCAAAACATTTCCACGCGAAGCATACAGCTCCGGATGTTATTGATGAGTTATAGTAAACAAACTGTCAGTGGCGTTCACAGCCTACCTGGGAGAATCAACTCCTTCAGACCCACACTGGCAAATAGTTCACATTCAGGTGGTTCTACTGAAACATTTATTTAGTGTTTACTATGTTCAAGAAACTCTTCGAGGAAGTGATGAACAATGCAGAGCTGCCTGTGGTGGGTTTTTAGCCCCAAGAAATGAACCAAAAGAAAATATCTAAGTCCAGGGAGGCAAGTGCTATGGGATGGTCCTGGGTAAGGTCTGTGTGAAAGAAGGAGAGTGCAGGGCACCCAGGTGGGCTGTGTGGAGCCTGTTCAATTCCCTAGACTCTCATTGAGCATTTGCTGTGTGTCAGACATTGTGCTGCATGGTGGATGAATGACAAGAACCAAGCTCAGGAGCAGAGAGAGACCTGCACTGAGAAAACCGGAGCAAATAAGCTGGCATGAGCGAGGGGGACTGTGGCAACACAGAGGAGAGGCCTGTGGACCTGGGCCCTGTGGTTGGCCGTGGGGTCTGGAGGAAAGTAAGGGGCGAAGCCTTCTGAAGGTGCTGCCTACTTTGGGATGTGGAAAAGGACTATGGAAGGAGGTCTGTCTCTGTGGGGACCAGCTATTCCAAAGCCTGCCCCTGGGCCTGCTCCAGATCATGCTACGGAAAGAGAAGGAGATGGAAGCTGCTTCTACTGCCCCTGGGCCCCTGGCTTGGTGGACCCCACACAGGCATCAGCAGCCTGTGGGGCAGCAGCAGAGTGAGCTGTGTGCTCAGGAGGTGCAGCTGGGGAACGGCGTGGCCCTTTGGCCGGGACAGCATCGGCAGCTTTCCTGTGGCTTCTGCTTATTGCAGGTCTGGGGCTGAGTCTTCATGCAAAGGGTAGGTGTGCATGGAATGAACTTGGGGAAGGGAGCAACCAGAGAAGAACCTGGAGGCGCAGGCTGAGGACAGGCCCTGAGGCCACTGGGGTCAAGCTCTGTGAGGCGGGATGCAGGCTATGGGTCCCCGAAAGTCCCCAGAGGACCCTTGGAGCCCCACCTTCCAAGACTCCCAGCAAGGAGACAAAGGGAATCTCCAGTGGGTACAGCTGGCTCAGAACTGAACATGTCTGTGTTTCTTGTTTATTTGAGTGAGACAAAGAAATAGTGACCCCTAAAGATGAGGAAAAATGAAATATGGTGTCAAGGCTCTTCACGAGGGCTTTGGCACTGTTTTGCACTGTACTGTGTGTTCATCGCTGTCTTCCTGGCTGTGGGCCACCATCTGGCACAGCAGTATCACACCTGGTCCCAGCAGGTGTTCAGGATGTGGAGTGTGAGTGGGTGCTTGGTCTAGGATGCATGGGGAGCCAGGGGTGGCTCCTTCACACACAGGCGGTCCCCAGAACTGGCGCTAGGATGCCCTGGGGGGGTGCCTTATCTCACCATTCTCTATGAGCATGGAACACTCATAGGTCAGTACGGGTCTTAGGTACATTAATTTAAACTCTCCTGCTTAGGATGCAGTACAAATGAAACACGGAAAAGTTTCCCAGAGGTTATCCTTTGTGAAAATTCCCTTATGTCCTCCATTCTGGAAAAAAAGTGCATTCCTGGAAAGTACTGGACTGCAGTGCCTTCTACCCTACATCTGCTTCTGACCCTCTTCTAGATGCCTCTGCTTTACTGTTCCCTCTCGGTGCCGTCCCCTGTCCCCTGCCTGCAGGCCTTTCTCCCTAGTGACGTCAGCACTGGTGGCACTCGTGAGCTGCCCTCAGCCATTCTCTGCAGACAACCCGCTGCCAAGTGCAGCACGTGCTCCTCTGGACCCTTCCAGAGATGACTGTCTTTATTGTCTGGCCGTCATAGGACCTGCATCCCCCGCGGCCTGCCCTGAGTCACATCCATTGCTTCTGAACTGGCCCCTCTGCTTCCTTCCGCATCGCTCACCACCCTCAGCAGGGTAGAAGGAGGTGTCCACAGCACTGCCTGCTCTGCGCCCCGGTACACCCTCCAATCGCCCGTCAGCAGCTGGACACAGCGTCCCAGCACCTCATGAGCAAATGACAAGCCCTCGTCCCATCTTGTCCCCTCACATGGCACAGAGTTCCTGTGACACCGGGCTGTCTGCAGCTCACAGTGCCCTGTCCTCTGCCCACACCACCCTGATCCCTTGTGCACCATCCCTGGGAAACACTCTGTCCTTAAAATTGTCACTCAGGTGGTGTCCCCATCAAGCAGCCTTCTTTGTCTTCCCAGAGCTACTCTTGCTGCTTTCTTGGCGCCATTTATAGCCATGAGGAACGCTTCTCTTTTGGGTGACTTAGTGACACTGTGTAGCGCTGTCCACTGTGCAGGGTGCTAAGTCACATCACGCATCACGCAGAGCACACAGGGGTGAGCGAAAGCTGCCGTCCAGCTTGGGCTCGGGAACCGTGCGTGTCTTTTTCTGTCCATTTTATTTTTTAAAATTTTAATGGAGGGGCCGGGGAGATGGCTCAGTAGAATAAGTGCTTGCCTGGCAAGTGCAAGGGCCTGAGTTCAATCCCCAGTTCCGAAAAAAAAAAAAAATTAATTGGTGCATTGTAATCACGTCATTCTACGGTGTACTGGTGTGATATTGTGTGCAGTTGTGTATGGCAAACCAGAGTAATTAGCTTTTGCATCCCCTGAAACATTTATCATTTCTTTTTTTGCAAAGAGGCTGCAAACTTCTTTCCTCCAGCTGTTTTGAAACATAATAAATTCTCTAGACTAGAGTCACCCAGCTGTGCAAAAGGGCATCAGAACTTCCTCTCCCTAGCTAACTGGATTTGGGTACCTGTTATCTAGCTTCTCTCTATTCTGTCCCCTCCCTGTCCTGGCTTCTGGTGACCACTATCCTACAGCATTCACATCTTCTAAGGCAGACAGAACAATGGCCCCCAAAGACGTCCATGTCCTACGGACTTTGTGAAAGATCTTGCAGTGAGGAGACTCCCCAGGGCTGTCTGAATGTCCTCCCAAGAGCACTTGGAAGAGGGAGGAAGAAGAGAGGAGGAGGTGGAGGCTGCTTTGAGCCTGCTACGCTGCTGGCCATTAGGGGAGGGACAGGCTGTAAGCCCAGGAGAGCAGGAGGCCTCCAGGAGCTGGACAGTCAAGGACATGCGCTTCTGCTGGGCCCTCCAGAGAAGCCAGCCCTGCTACAGCTTGACCTTAGCACGGGGAGGTGCAAGACTCACTCTGGGTTTCGAACCTGCAGAAGTAATAACCATACACTTGTGTCATTTGAAGTCACTAACTGTGGTCACTGTTACAGGACCCATGAGAAGCTGACACAGTCCGTGGGGAGCTCAGATGTCCACTAGCCTCCAGCTCCAAGAGGCGACAGGCTTACCAGCTGTTGCCCTCGCCCGCCTCCCAGGGCTACCCGCCTTCCCACTCAGCTTCCTGTCACTTCCTTTCCAACCCTCTGGAGTACAATGGCCTCCAGACCTCTCCTGCAAAGCCTGCCCAGCAGGAAGACGAATGTGCTCCCAGCCTGGTGGGGTGTATGGCAAATCAGTCTGTGGGCGGCTTCACCTCATGTGCCTGGCAGTCTGCAGAGAGGCAGGGAGGGCAAGGACCTGCCTCCTGCTCCGTCCTGTCACGTCCCCAACACCTGGCTGTCTGAGACACAGAGCTCCTGATACATTGCCTTGCTGTGAGCTTTTGGCCACTGCCTTTGAAAATACATGGAGCTTACTCAAAATCACGCAGGGGAGGTGTCTCACGGGCTGAGTCCAGTCTCTCCACGGACATCGAATGACTTTCGTGGGTGGATGATGGCAGTCACTGCACAGCACCTGGCCTCCAGTCTCCATTCTGGGCCATGGAGGTCACTGGTCCAGTGGCCAGGCTGGGTGAGGTCAGACTGGCCCAGTGGGTCTCTGGTTATGCAGGTGGGCTGGGGAGGAGGCTGCAGCTTTCCTGGAGTGAGTGGGAGAAGACCCTTCCTGCCTTATGGTGCAACATTCATGCAAGGGGCGCCTCTGGGTGCTTAGGGACCACCAGGGTGGGCTCTCCTTCACCGCCAGGCTTCTCCTAGCCCCGTCTCAGCCCAGGCCAGACACTCATCCTCAGCCCACATGCAGGACAGAAAGGGCCTGACAGAGTGGGAGGGGTGGGAGCCTCTGGTGGGTGGGCCTGTGCTGAAATGACCTTTCAAAAAACACAAACAGGCTCGGGAAAGTGTTGCTCAGATAAACCTCCTTGAAGCCAGTTGGGGGCTGTCGCTGGCGGCCCTGGGGGGCCATCATTGCCACAGTGTAAAATCAGGAAACTCCTGTTCCTGGCGTTCACCAAGCACTCGCAGAAAGCAAATAGCTTTTGTTGGGCTTCAATTCATTACCATCTAAAATGTCATTCTCTGTGTGGGTAATAAAAGAGAATACGTTTTATTGTAGCTCCTTATGTTAAGGTTTTACAAAATCTGTTATTAAATGATCTACGTAGAATCTAAATGAGTCTTACTAGGTTACACGAAGTGGCAAGGTGGTCTTTTGCCTTCCTCGCCCCCACATCAAGTGCAGCGGAGGAGCGAGAGGAGCGGTGCCCTCTGCACGCTGGTCAGACGAAAAACTGTGCTCTGCTGGGTAATCGGCATCACAAAGTTACACCCTGGTCACAACATCCAGAGAATTCAATTACGGACTCCCAGTGACAAAAGCGCAGGAGCCCACCCAGGGTTAGAGGAGGTTGCTAAAATTAGGTTCTAAATGCCTACGACTTGTAGCAATTGCCGCTTTCCAACCCTGGCCCAGCAATGGGCCTCAGCATGGTAATAACTCCTGCCCATTAATTTCAGGGGCTTAATCAGGGCTACGTCCTCCACTCAGAAAAGTGCCACCGACGTGGGCTTCCTTGGGTTGAGTCACTGCAGTTTTTCAAATCCTGCCCCCATGTGGCCATGGTCTCCTAATCAAATCTACCATCCAGGGTTACTTTTAATCAGCATTACACGCTGTCCCTTAAGTCAAATGTGTTCGTGCGCAACGCTGATTTTGGCTTAGAGCTCTGTTGCTGCCAATAATTCCAGGTAGCTTGCAAAGCAAAGGGGCCAGGTTTGCAAGTCATCAACCAGCCGTGGTACCAGGCCACTCTAGCCATGGACAAGACAGCACTTGGGGACTCTGTCTCGACGCTGCCATCGGGTTACGATCTCTGAAAATAAATTGAACTGGTTCTAAATCATCTGAGGGACAAAGCCACATAGGTTGGTTTCCAATTACATCACTGCTATGTTTTGAATGAAGCTACAGAGGACGGAGGAAAAGCAACAAGAATAACCCAGCCACGGGATGCCAGCCCTTTCTGCCACCTTCCTTTGGCATTGTTTGCCCAATGTCTTGAAGATGACAGGCCCTGCCCTACTACAGGGCAGCCCTGGCAACCTTGGCAGCATCATCCATTTTGTTCTTGAAATCCTCTTGGCTCAGCTGACAAAGCCAGAGCCCTATTAACACTCTGGAAGGCTTGTCAGGCAAGGAGCAAAAAGCCAAAAGCCACGACTTAACACAGGGTCTTGCCCTTCCCGGCTGAGCCTTGGAGACAGATAGAATGTTGATAAGGTTGAGTGTGTTTTTCCTCACAAATAATAAAACCTACAAACATGCCCTTTAAGGGCTCCTTTTTATTTTATTTTTAAAAATAACAATAAATAGAGCCTCTGCCTTCCCACTGGACTCTCTCCAGAGTCCGATTCAAAGTGAAGGAGAACTGAATTCTATTGCTAGTCTCTTCAGGGGGAAAGTCTAATGCCTAATTGTCCTTCTCCTAAAGGGGCCAGAGACCCCATAACTGTGGTCAAAACATGCCCTGGGCCTCACACCCCTCCTGGATCTCATTCGTGCCCTGCACCTTCCCACCTCATTCCACACAGGCCTGTGCCATGTCTGTAGAGCCGGGCTCCTCTCAGACCCTGCTATCGGAACAGTCCTGGCCACATGCATCCAATGCCTACTCTTTGCAAGAAATACAGTGAACCGTTGACTTATGAGCTAATTCTTCCATGAGGGCTGGTTGCCACTCAAGTGGGTTGTAAGTCAAGATTACTTTTCCCATAGGAAATAATGGAAATGCCTCTAATACATTCCAAACATCCTAAAGCACCCCTTAATTAACCTTTCCATAATAAAAAGGGTTGTATAATGTGTGTAATTTACCAAAACACCAATAACTTTCCTAGTGTATTCACCTAAATGTTATAAAGTATGCCTGGTTTACCAGAAACAACAATTTTCTACTCTACTCACCATTCAAACTGACATCTGTGGCTTGCAGGGACTCTGGAAGCAGAGTCTCCTTCCACAAGAGCATCAGGCATGTGGCTCTCTGGTGTCCCTCCTTTCCCTGGGAGAGTCTGTAGCCTACTAGGACCTGTCCTGGCTCTGCTTTTTCAGAACTAAAAACTGGTCTAAGGTTGTCTGTTTCTGTCTTGAACACTTCTGTAGAGTGGCATGACCTTGTCTATTAGCAACCCTTTCTATGGTGCCAGTTGTCAGGGATGCCTGAAGTGAGTCCCCAATCTCTTGATGGATGCTATAGTGCGTGGAGAAAGAGAAAAGAAAGAGCAAGAGGCAAAAAGTAGGGCGCAGCAGGGATCTGGGATGGCCAGGTGCTCTGAGGGCCGCAGCTGGCAGCCTTGTTATTTAGCTCATGCAGGGGAGGGCACAGCACTTTACCTGGGAGAGGGCAAAAGTCGTGGTTGAATGGGCACGTTTAATGTCACAAAGGAAAGAAGTTAAGATTGGCCCTCACCCCTGGCACTCCTCTCCCTGCACTGTCCTCTGCAGACCTCGTCCTGCTCTCGGAGCCTCACAAACCAGAGGAATCAAGAGCTCCACGTTCCAATACTGGCCTACTAGGCAAAGGCAAGTCAATGTGTAATTTGTGGTCCCCAACAATTGTCCTTAGGAAAGTGAAAGCAACGACTGGCTCTTTCTGCCCAGGCGGGCCTTCTCTACAAATGTTCATCACCCTGTCCAGTTTTTCAGGTGTTCCTTTATTCCAGAAGAGCTTTGCTGCACTGACTGTTGACACCCCCCTCCTCGCCAGCAAGCTCCTCAGCCTCCTTCCTCTGCTGCTCCGCCAGACATTCCTGAAGTTCCTCTGTAGACAGTTCCTCTGAGTGCTCATCTCCCAGCTCCTCAGCACCACCAGTCTACCTGGGAGCCTCCAAGCTCCTCTGTAGTGACAGTGTCATCAACCACAAGGCCAACTGAAGGCTCAGGCTCCTCTATGTACCCCTCAAAGTCTCTTTCTTGTATAATTTTAGGCCACACTCTCTACCAGGCAGATCTCAGTGTCCTTAAAGCATTGGCCCAGGATTTCTCAATTAACTCCCAAAGGACAGGATTCTGTACTGTGCCTTCAGGAACTTTTTAAGGGTTAAATCTGTACACAAGGCCATCTGGAAGCACCTCAGGGACAGTCCCTTGGAGCATTGCTTCTTACTGTGAGGGGTAACCTGCTGGTCCATAGGCTTTTGTAGAGTTGTATTAGGTGGCAGAAACTTGACTCAGGGCCATGGAAATCCTTCAGCCAGTTCTTCCTACAAATCTCATGGGAGGGTAGGAGCACTGTCCAGGATGAGGAGAGCCTTGAGTGGGAAACCTCTGTCCTCTAGATACCGCTTAGCAATAGGACAGACACCCTGCCTGATCCACTCAAGTAGGAGTACTCTTGCTACCCTGGCTTTTATATTAGAATTCCATGTGACCCCTGGCCTGTTCTTCGTGGCTTTATGTTTCCTCAACACTCTAGGGGTCTCAGAGTGATGAGCTCAGGGGGGCTTTATCCTGAGGTCACCACTTACATCGGCACAGAGCCATAAGGTTAGCCCATCCTTCGTAGGCCTGTGGCCTGGCATGTTCTTCTCTTCCTAAGCCATGTATTTTCTCCTGGACATTTTTTTTTCCAGAAAAGACCAGTTTTACCACAGTTGTAAACTTGATGATGACAAAAAATCATGTCTGTGTGTCATCATTTTGAGGTCGTATGTGTAATTTTCAGCATCCTTTATCAGCGCTGGCTTCCTCTCCATGCCTAATTATACCATGAACCATAGTTCTTATTTGAAAACTACCCCTTCCTGTCACGAAATGTTCTCCACGATCACCCATTGGTAGATTATCTTTCCCAAGACCTGCATTTAGAGCCCTAGCTCTCTCACAGATGACAGATTCAAATCAGCAATGACCTGCCATCTGCCCTTTGTTTATCCACACCCATAGCAGCCTCTCCACTTTGTCTGACACTGTTGCTCAGGACTTACTGATTTGGGTTAACACCTTTAGCAACACGAGCTTCCTCATATAGAGCTTTTCTCTGTACGATTGTCCAGATGGTGGGTTTTCACAGACGGTGGGTTTCCACATATTAGTGAGATTGGTTGCCATTGGAATGTCACTCTCATATTTTTCCACAACTCCCTTCTTTTCGGTTATGACTCTTTTCTTTATCTTCCTTTCCTTCCTTAGCTGTTTTGTGGCAATTTGATAGCAATTACACAAAGCGCTGGCCACAGTCACATCCACAGATGCACATCTGGGCTCAGACTGATGAAGTCTGTTGACAACTGCACACTAGGGTCATAACTCAAGACTTCGGTCATAAGTGAAACCTAAAATTCCAGTCGTAACGCAAGCTGCTCATATGTGAGGCCAGTCGTGACTGAGGGCACACTTTACGTGACTCCTCCTGGGTGGTAACTCGCCTCTGCTGTGGACACGGCGTGGATGCTGCTTCCCCAGCACAGATGCGGACTCTGCTGCCCCCAGACACACAGCTCTTCACGGGTGCATCACAGGCCCTTCCCTGCCCCCTCAGCTGTACTGCTCTAGAGGAGCCACAGTGCTTGTCACCTGCCCCGTGGCCCACAGCCCATAGAGGAGGTAGCTCAGGCTTCTCTATGGGCACACACACCTTAGCCATCCCACAGTCTGAGGTGGAAGGACCTGGGAACATGAGACTTCTCTTCAGAGGTTCATCCTCAAATGTGGCTCTTCAAATCACCTCCCCAAAGACTCCTGTGACTGTAAATATATGTCGACTTGAGAGCATCAAGACATGCCCAGCAAACAAGGAGAGCCCAGTTCTGTTATGTCTGTGGGTGACTGACACATAGATCGGCAAGCAGAGGTGGCAAGACCCACCCCAGAGAGGAGTGTGCTCAACCTGCAGGCTTGTAGCATAGACGGAATCAGAAGGGGAAAGAAGGAGGCATGCTTGTTCTGAAGTGCTCCGGTCTTGGCTGTCACAGCAGTCGAGGTTCCTCCCCTTCCAATGCAGACTCATTCCGGCCACTACAAGCACTTCCAGGCCTTCAGCTTGCCCTGGCGCTGCACCTGATTCCTCTCCTTCTGCAGCATCCATTGCTTAGCTACTGGATCCTACATCTCTCCAGCACGCCAAGGAAACTGTGGAGTATCCTGCTCCTGATCCTGTAAGCCTACCTCGTAAGTCACCTCGCATAATTATACATGTATTTTCTTTTGATTCGTTTCCTCTAGAGAGGCCTAACTAATGCATCCACAAATGTCAGCCTTCTTAGGGAGCCACCTTCATGCTCACCCTTCAGTCCTATCCACTTCTG